TTCTGCCCCCTTCCTTTGTCCTTTTTATATGTTGCTGTTTCGTTATTTACTGGTATCCATTTACACTTGTGTGTACTTTACGCTGTGAGTTTATTCATTATTCTTGTGGCTATTTTGACGCTCATTTAATGTGCCGAGTCATCGCTTTCTGCTTTTAACGGAAGATCATCACATGATTGTTGGTCCAGCGGCAGCGTGCACCAGTGTTCATTTCGTCGACGAAGACTGTGACGAAAATTGTTCATTAACGAACCTTTTTTCCATGACTAAGACGTGACGAAAACGATCTTAAAAAATAAAAACTATGACTAAATCTATTCTAACTTTCGTTAACGAGACGAAGTCACGATACTTTTTCCCCCTAAATTCGCACGCAGCTGACAGACAACAGACCGGCAAAGTACGGCGGATGTTAACGCGTCATGATGACGTCATCCACCAACCCAGAACGCGCGCAGCGGCGCAGCGGTGCTTCTTGTGCACCGACTGCGGACCGCGACGACTCTTTTACGCTTCGGCGAGTTTGAACGTGGCTTCGTTAGTTTAGCTCAGCTGTCTCGGGTTAGCTGCCTGTTAGCTGCCTGTTAGCTGCCTGTTAGCTGCCTGTTAGCAGACTGAAGCCGCGCTGCTTCACAGAAACATGAAGACCCGTTTAACAGCTCGGGGCTGTTAACGCGTCTAACGTAATAAACTCATTGCAGGTTCTGAAGCCTCACGCATTTGAACTGTAGTTCACGCGCCACATCGTAAGAAAACGCTGTTAAACCGTTTCGGCCACCGTTCGCTCGTTACTAACAACATAGAGGCGCCACACGCGTGACAGGTGGCCGTGTCAAAAGCACTGCAAGTAAACAGACAAAGACAACAAAGTGTTGCGTTTAGGTCCCTGGTCCTCATGAAGTTGTTACACCTTTGCCAATTTGTTACATTTCCTTGCAAATAAATGCTTTGTTATTTGTTAAAATCCAAATCCTTTCATGTGATGATGTTTCACATGTCATTTATATCCGCTCACACAAACACTTCAACCGTTTGTTCTTGGCCTCCGTCACATTTTACAACCCACTGTGGCCCCGAGTCAGAACGTTTACCGACCTGCTATAGACCTGTCCTATGAGGGACATCTATAGACCTGTCCTATGAGGGACATCTATAGACCTGTCCTATAGGAGGGACATCTATAGACCTGTCCTATAGGAGACATCTATAGACCTGTCCTATGAGGGACATCTATAGACCTGTCCTATGAGGGACATCTATAGACCTGTCCTATGAGGGACATCTATAGACCTGTCCTATGAGGGACATCTATAGACCTGTCCTATGGGGGACACCTATAGACCTGTCCTATGGGGGACACCTATAGACCTGTCCTATAGGAGGGACATCTATAGGCCTGTCGTAGGAGGGACATCTATAGGCCTGTCGTAGGAGGGACATCTATAGGCCTGTCCTGTAGGAGGGACATCTATAGGCCTGTCCTGTAGGAGGGACATCTGATGGACAACCAACTACTGCAAGCTAGACTATTATGCAGTTGTAGACACACCACAGGGGTCCCTGAGCCTGAGAAGGGAAGAACAGGAGTTTAATGTGGCTGTTAAATGGGACTAAAACAATTACATTTTAGTCTAGTTTTCGTCGACTAAAACTAAGAAGGATTAAAATGACTGAATGTGACTAAAACTAATATGCATTTTTCGTCTAAAGACTAAGACTAAATCAAAAATAGCTGCCAAAATTAACACTGGCGTGCACGAGCTCCTGCTGCTCAGAGCACGTTGACGCATTCAAACCTGATCACAATCGCCTGGATCTGAAACTAAAAAACTAGATTCAGATCCATCGGTGCTTCTAATGACCTCATGGCAGAAAGAAGGGTAGAGCTTCCTACACCGGCTGAACCCCCCCTGGACCCTCTGCATGGCCCCCCCTCTCCGTCGTTTCTCCTTCTGTCTCTCTCTCTGTCTCCTGCCCTGTTCCCTCACTGTGTGTTTCCTTCCCTTGTCTCCTTAAACTCTCCACTCCCTTCTATTAAAGCTTCCCAACTTTCTGGTCGCCTAGTGACACTCCGCTTTACAACCTGGAGCCGTGCGAGCCGCTGCCCTTCGACGTGGCGCGTTTCCGCGGCCTCACGGCCTCGCTGCTGCTGGACCTCACCTTCCTGACCAGCATCCACGAGGAGGCCGCCGCCAAGCTCGGCGCGCGGCGCCACGACAAAAAGCACCGCGGCGCGGCCACGCCGGGACCGGAGCCGCCAGCGCACGACGACAAAGCGGAGAGCCAGGAGCAGAGAGAACCCCCCGGCTCCGCGACCTCCGACCTGCGCGTGTCCCACAGCCTGGACGAGGTGAAGGCGCACGTGGCGCCAAACTCCAAGTCGGAGAGCGAGATCTCCTCGGCGGTCGGCGGGAACGATGCGCTCTTTGCCACGCCGCCACACGCCCCCGCCGAGGGGGGCAGAAAGAAAGGCCACGAGCACGGCCCCCGGGCCCACGAGGCCGGCGCCACGCAGTCGGAGATCCACGCCGTGCAGCTGTCCTACCTGTACCTGGGCGCCATGAAGGCCCTCAGCGCCCTGCTGAGCTGCAGCAAGTACGCCGAGCTGCTGCTCATACCGAAGGTACCAGATCACCTCCTCAAAGGGATTCCTTGTCATGGCGCATCATCCGGATCCCGCTCACCCCCTCCCCCCCTCTCTCTCCTCTGACCTCTTACCTCCAGGTGATACCCGAGGCGGCGGCCAGCGGCCACAACGCCGACCTGAACGCGGCGGCCGCCACCTCGCCGGTGTGCCAGGAGGAGGCGGAGATGCGGGCGGCTCTGCAGTTCCTCATGCGCCACATGGTGAAGCGGGCGGTGATGCGCTCCCCGATCAAGCGGGCCTTGGGCCTGGCCGACCTGGAGCGGGCTCAGGCCATGGTCTACAAGCTGGTGGTGAACGGGCTGCTGGAGGAGCCCAGTGGAGGCAAGGCCCGGACCGGTGAGGGGGGCGGGGGGGCTTATATGTAAAGAACGGAACCTCCTACGTCAGCTGTTTCTCCTTTAGAGCAGATGAATTATGTTGTCGTGTGAGTGAATTACTATAAAATACATCTACATGTGTGGTTAAGTCAGTGCTGTTATTCAGTCAAACGGCAGCGAAGGTCAACCAGCTCTGTTCTTACCGACCCGACGGATGTGTTGTTGTGTTTATACTGAATATCCGCCCATATAAAGACTTTTATATCTGAAGGCATCAAACACACTTTCCCTTCCCTCCCCCTCCAGGCGTGAGAAGCGAGCCGGAGGGGGAGGGGGACGGCCCCGAGGGCGAGCAGCTGGCTCAGACCCCCGTCACAACCAGCCCCTCGGCCTCCAGCACCACGTCCTTCATGAGCTCCTCGCTGGAGGACACCACCACCGCCACCACGCCCGTCACCGACACAGAGACCGCCCCCGCCTCCGAGTCTCCGGGGGTCATGCCCCTCAGCCTCCTCAGGTCAGGACCTCCGGTTTCCCGCCAACGATTAAATCCGGAGGATTTTTTTATTTTAATGCTTCTGTGTGACCCGACAGGCAAATGTTCTCCAGCTACCCGACCACCAGCCTGGCGCCGTCCCGTCGGGCTCAGACCCCCCCGGTGTCGTCCCTGCCGACCTCGCCCTCAGAGGAGGTCGGCCGCCGGCAGAGTCTCACCTCGCCCGACTCCCAGCCCTCCAGACCGCAGAACCGAACCGGGCACCTGTGAGTATTTGGTGATTCTGTATAATATATAATATATTCTGCGTTCGATAACAATGTCACTGGTGGGTTTGTTGTTGTTGTTGTTGTTTTCTGCAGCGCTGTCGGACCCCAGCAGCAGGCTGTCCACGTCCCCCCCGCCTCCCGCCATCGCTGTCCCCCTGTTGGAGATGGGCTTCTCTCTGCGGCAGATCACCAAAGCCCTGGAGGCCACCGGTCAGTCCTCTCTGTTTGATCCCGTTTATTATGTATTTATCCAGTTCTTATCCTCACCGACACATTGGTTAGTTTAACGCAGAGGATTTTGAGCGCCCGTTGATTGACGTTTTAGCTCTGTGGCGATGACTGAAAAAAGACGAGGTGAATGAATGAGATGGTGCGAGATCGTGCACGTACGGGGACTATTTTTCTGTAGACCACTGAAATGAGAAACACAACGTGTGGTGGCTAATACTATTAGGAGTCTGCGGTGCGACTCATCCTCTTCTTTCGTGTCCAAGGCGCTCGCGGCGAAGCCGACGCCCAGAACATCACGGTGCTCGCCATGTGGATGATCGAGCACCCGGGCACGGACGACGAGCACGACGAGCCTCACGCCAGAGGAGGAGGAGGAGGAGGAGGAGGAGGGGGCGTCGAGGTGGTTGTCGGGGGCGACGGGTCCGACTCGTCCTGCCCGGGAGCGATGGCCTCTTCAGGGGGCAAATCTCTGGAGCGGAGCCCCTACCTGTGCTCCCCCGGGGACATCGCCGACGCCTCGGAGATGGAGGAGGGCTTCAGCGAGAGGTGCGGCGTGTGCTTATCGGTCTATAAAATAATGTTGTATTTATTTATGAGGGCTTTGCAATTAAAGGGAACTTTAAATAAATAAAGTTTCAATTAACGAGCAGTTATGGTCAAATGTTAATGAGCAAAGAACAAATATGAAGTCGTAGAAAACCTTAATAGAAAGTACACATTGTTTACAACAGTATCCTGATGATGTCGTGATCATTTTGGCGATAAACCTCCTGTGACGGCTGCAGTGTGTATAAAAGTGTGCGTCTGTGTTGCAGTCCTGAGGGTCTGGACCAGGACGCCTCCGGCGGCGGGCCACTGCGAGGTCGCTCCGCCGCCGGCAGGAAGCACCGCTTCGACCTGGCAGCGCGCACGCTGCTGGCCCGCGCCGGTAAGAACTTTACTCCTCTTTCCATTCGTCTTACCTCTTACTTTATCCGCACTCACCTCAACTCGGAACCCCCGCCATCCCCCGTTTCCCAGCCGGGCTGTACCGCTCGGTGCAGGCCCACCACAGCCAGTCGAGGCGGGAGGTGGCGTCCCTGCAGCAGCAGCAGCAGCAGCAGCAGCAGCAGCAGGACCCGGGCGCCCTCTACGACTTCAACCTGGACGAGGAGCTGGAGATGGACCTGGACGAGGAGACCATGGAGGCCATGTTCGGCCAGGACCTGGCCAGCGACACCGACATTCTGGGAATGTGGATCCCGGAGGTACTGGACTGGCCAACATGGGTGTGTGTGACTTTAAGCTCTGTCCAGAGGGGCCGCTCTCTGCCTGCGCTGCATCACTCCTCAGGGCCGACCCTCTGAACATCTCAAACATTGCACTATTTAACAATATGCGATTTTCAGATTTAAATGAGAACAAAATGTTGAAGGAAATTCAATTGTAACCTTTATTTTGGCTGCTTTATCCGACGTGAGCATCCGCCCCTAACGATCAACCATTGAACGATTACCACGGCGGTTCAGGGGGTCGACTCTTCTTCTCGGCTCGGCTCTCGTTGGAACGAACGACTAAAAACGGAACGATGCGTCGCCTGTCGCTTGAGACGCCGCGCAGCTCTCTGCGATTCATGTTGGGACGCGTCCCCACTGTCCTCGTCCACTCTGTCCCGTGTGTGTACTTTTGTCTTCATGTGTGTCACCCTCTCTGCCGCCGTACCTCCACGCAGCACGTGTGCGAGACGGACGACCGGGACGAGGTGGTGGTGTGCGAGCTGTGCGAGGCCAACGTGGCCAACTTCAACCAGCACATGAAGAAGAGCCACCCGGGCTGCGGCCGCAGCGCCAACCGGCAGGGTTACCGCAGCAACGGCTCCTACGTGGACGGCTGGTTCGGGGGGGAGTGCGGCAGCGGGAACCCGTACTACCTGCTGTGTGGGGGCTGCAGGGAGAAGTACCTGGCCATCAAGAGCAAGGCCAAAGTCCCCGTGGTGGAGAGGTAGGCGGCCCAGGACCAAACCGGGGTGAATGCCGGCTGGTGATGGAAGACATCCTCCAAATTTATATATTCGTTTATTATACATTGTATATATGAGCTTGTCAATATAATAACTACATTTTAGTTTTAGTTTAATTTACAGTAGAAATGAATAAATTAACATAATTTGATTGAAATAAACGTAGAATAATATAATTATATATATATATATATATATATATATATATATATATAATTATAAGTAGAAATAAGTACAAACATCAATGATAACTGAAGGGGGTCTGAGATGGACGTAACTTACAGAAGTTGAGGTTACAAATTCACATTTTTAACTGGTTACACATTTCTTGTTTTGAACTCCCAAACATTGATATTGGCCATAAAAGTTCACCAAAGAAAATCAAACATTTCACTCTTACTTACAAATGTATATTTGTGTGTATTTACATTGTAGTATTTGTGGTTTTTATTTTATATATTATTTTGAGGGCTAATCAGTAAACATGTGAATATATGAGCGATATGTTTTATTCTGAAAGCGGATCCCTTGTCATGCCGTTCTCTGCTGTGTATTCAGGTACAAGGGACAAGCTCCGGACCTGCTGGGAAAGCAGGACAGTGTCTACGAAGGTGAACGCTTTGAGCTCCTCGTTTCGCACACAGATGTCTCATGTCAACAATAGTGTTGTTGACTTCCTCGTAGTTTCTTTTGTAAAAATGGAAAAAGAAAGTAAACGCCAAAAGTATGGTTTACGCTTCATCCCTCGCCTTCATCACACGCGTGAACCGTCACGCTGAATGTTTCGATCCGCCCGTCCCGCTGCAGAGGACTGGGACATGCTGGACGTGGACGAGGACGAGAAGCTGACTGGGGAGGAGGAGTTTGAGCTCCTGGCCGGCCCGCTGGGCCTCAGCGAGCGCCGGCTCGTCCCCGAGGCCGTCCAGTTCCCCGACAGCGACCCGCTGGGAGCCTCTGTCGCCATGGTGACGGCGAGCAACAGCATGGAGGAGACGCTGCTGCAGATAGGTGCGAGAGACCGCTCCCCCCCCCCCTTCCCCCAATATGACAAAAGCATGACTGACCTGAGCGCCTGTGTGTCTTCAGGCTGTCAGACCTCGGTGGATAAGAGCTCGTCAGGCAGGGTGACCCTCGGGGAGCAGGCCGCCGCCCTCCAGAACCCCCACGACCGCGTGATGGCGCTGAGGAGGGTGACGGCCGCGGCGCAGGTGCTGCTGGCCCGGACCATGGTGATGAGAGCCCTGTCCCTGCTGTCCGTCAGGTGGGTGTCTTCTTGACAGAAGTAGTCATTTTCTAATGCACTTCCGTGGGGCCAGAGAGGGTCGCCCCCTGCTGGTCAGTAGGCAGAATCCAGCTGATGGAAGCAGTTTTCTTTCCATCGTGTAACTCGTGACTTCGCCCTCCCTCCCTCCCAGTGGCTCAAGCTGCTCGCTGGCCGCCGGCCTGGAGTCTCTGGGTCTGACCGACATCAGGACCCTGGTCCGGCTCATGTGTCTGGCGGCGGCCGGCCGGGCCGGTCTCTCCACCAGCTCCACGTCGGGTTCCGGTCACGCCGACAGGCCCCGCGGGGCCGCCAAGGCCAGTAAGCCCATCTCCAGCCTGGCGTATCTCAGCACCGCGGTGGGCTGCTTGGCCTCCAACGGTCCCAACGCCGCCAAGCTGCTGGTGCAGCTCTGCACTCAGGTAACCAGTCAGCACATCCAATTTTAAGTGTCTTTTCGGTTTAGAAGAATAGAGAAGTGACAGTTGAACTCTAGATGTTGCAGTGAAACATGCATGTTTTATTTTCCAGCTTTCTCTCCTTGTTTTTATGTGTAAATCAATCACTTTGTGCTGCATTTTTCTGTACGAATGGTGATAAAGTTTAATATAATTATTATTATTGTTATCTCGCTAAAGTAGAAGAAGCATTTCTATTTTTTGAAACTCTATCAGGTGCTTTAGATAATTATTGTAAATTTAGATAAAAACACCGGCCTTTATTTTGAAATCTGTTTCCTGCTCGGCTCGCAGCCATACATACAAACCCACAACTCTTTGTCGATAAAGAAATGCTCTTTGCTCTGCAGAACCTGATCTCTGCGGCAACCGGCATGAACCTGACCACGGTGGACGACCCCATCCAGAGGAAGTTCCTGCCCAGCTTCCTGCGCGGCGTCGCCGAGGAGAACAAGCTCGTCACCTCCCCGAACTTCGTGGTGACCCAGGCCCTGGTGGCCCTGCTGGCAGACAAAGGGGCCCGACTGAGACCGGCCTGCGACAAGGCGGACACGGAGAAGAGAGGTTTGTACGCTCAGCAAAAGAAAGCTTCTCGTTTGGCTTTTCCTTTAGTTCACCCAAAAAAGCCCAAAACATATTTTTTTTCTGTAGCTAATTATATAATATTATTAAATTGTGCTTTATCAGCCGTAGAGAAGTCTGCATTCCCTTCCATTAGATGACATAAAAAAAGATCTGATCACTCACAATAACCTGCTAGCTCGCCTAGCGCCGCGGAGCTAGTCGACGAGCACGTCGTTACATTATGAGAGCGCTTCCTCCTGCGAGGAGAAGAAAATAGTTTCCCCATGACGTCTCGGCTCTGATTAACAGCCCTGCAGGCCGGGGCACGATGTGCACTTTCGTAGTGGATTGGTTCTCTGTCATCATTCCTTCTCTCTGCTTTGTGTTTTTTTTTTTTTTTCTGTGTCTCTTTGTGAGTCCGTCCCCTTTGCTTTGCCTCCCCCTCACTCACCGGGTCGCCCTCTGTCCCGTGTCCAGCAGGTCTAATTGCGCACTTGTATGCTCACCCCTCCCATAACCCCCTCGCTGTAGGGCCCCTGGAGCTGGCCAACGCTCTGGCGGCCTGTTGCCTGTCCTCCCGGCTGTCCTCGCAGCACCGCCAGTGGGCCGCCCAGCAGCTGGTCCGCACGCTGGCCGCCCACGACCGCGACAACAACCACACCCGGCCGCAGAGCTTCGCCGACCTGGCGGGAGACCTGCGCAGGTGCTCCTCCGTCAAGCTGGAGGCCCACCAGAGCAGAGTGAGTCCCAGCTGAGGACGTGTGTCTTCTGTGAAACTGCTGGTGTTGGGTGTTGAACGAAGTCCGTGCTTTCAGGTCATCACCTGCAGGTGGTGCAGCAAGAAAGGCCTGTTGGCCACGAGCGGCAACGACGGCACGGTGAGGATGTGGAACGTGACCAAGAACCAGTACGCCCTCCAGCAGACCTGCATCTTCAACAAGGAGTAAGCATGGTTATCATCACCTAACTGGATGATGCGATAGGAATGCTCACATCCTCCCCGTCGTCAGGCCATAACTCCCCGTACTCTCTTTTCTCCTCAGCGACGGCTCGTCGGAGGACGGCACGTCGGGTCTGGGGTCTCCCAGCGACCCCTGCATGTCGCCTCTGGCCTGGAGCGTCACCGGGAAATACCTGGCATCCGCCATGGAGAAGCTGGTCAACATCTGGCAGGTTAATGGTGAGCATTCATGTCCTTTAGGACCGGTCGCCATCGGCTTCTATCGGCCCGTTTCCTCTTTGAGTGGAGCGATCAGTTCCTTCTGCAGTTTGGTGTAAAACATTTAACTGGTAATTTACTTGATTATTCCTACTTTATCTAACTTTATACTTCTTGATCACTACCTCTCAGAGGGAAATATGTACTTTTAACTCCATTAGACAGAATTCGTTACTAGTTCCTCTATTCTGCAGATTTACATTCTAAACACAAAATATAGGTGAACTATGTTGTGTGATTACGTTAAGTTGGTGTTTAGGTGGTGTTTTCTGGAGATAAGCTCCTCCCCCTCTCGCAAGCAAATAAAAGTACAAACCTTTGAGCTCCACCCTGACCTCTGACCCCCCCCCCCCTCCCTCCCTCTCTAAGGCGGTAAGGGGCTCCTGGACGTGCAGCCTCACTGGGTGTCGGCGCTGGCGTGGCCCCGGGAGGAGGCGGAGTCTCTGTGGTGCGGGGAGCCCCGGGACGTGCTGCTGGTGGGACGCATGGACGGGTCTCTGGGCCTCATCGAGGTGCTGGACTCCTCCAGCATGCAGCGCACCGAGCTGGAGCACTGCTACAGGAAAGACGGTAGGCGCCGCCGCGCTCCGCTGCTGTCGCCATGTTGCTTTCATCTGGAGGTTTACGCCCCCTCGCCTCCCACTCCTCACCCTTCTCCCCCTCCCTCTCCCGCTCAGTGGCGGTGATGCACATCGCCTGGTACAGCGAGAACAAGCCCTTTGCCGTCGGCTACGCGGACGGGAAGCTGCTGATCGGATCCAAGGAGCCTTTAGAAAAAGGAGCCGTCGTGGTCATTGACGCTCACAAGGTCAGATGGTTCTCCTGGATTCTCCTCTGCAGGGTTCCTCTCTGCAGGGTTCCTCTCTGCAGGGTTCCTCTCTGCAGGGTTCCTCTCTGCAGGGTTCTTCTCTGCAGGGTTCCTCTCTGCAGGATTCTTCTCTGCAGGGTTCTTCTCTGCAGGGTTCCTCTCGGCGTTTGAGTCGTCTTACAACACACACGTATTTAACTGTGACCTGAAACATGCCATCAATCATCTTAAAGATAGACATATAGAAACAAGAGTATCCCAACAACTAAGATTTAAAAGCATCTGATGATGAGACCTGATGTATGAAGAACTTTTGTGAACTCATAGATTTATACGTAGCTCCTCCCACTGCGAGCCTCATGTGGTTGGCGGGACGTTTCTGTCCTCTCGCTGCTCACAGGAGGCGATCAGCAGCATGAAGTGGAGTCCCGACGGTCACGTCCTGCTCACCTGTGCCAAAGAGGAGACGGTGAAGCTGTGGGCCGGTCCGGACCCCCTCCGTCACTCTCAGTCCGCCTCCGGCTGGCGCTGCCTGCAGAGCCTGCGACACCCGTCCCAGGTCAACGGCGTGGCCTGGTGCGGCCAGCTGGGACGCGGCCCGAGGCCCCTCAGCATGTTGGCCATGTAGGTCGACCTCTTGTAGTATATAGATGTTAATATATAATATATATTATATAATATATGAGAGGAAACCTCTCGTGTTGCTTTTCATTCTTTTTTTACAGATGTTGCCAGAACGGCCACGTCTCAGTCTGGACCGTTCCTCAAAACACCTCCAGCTTCCCGGATTCCTCTTTCTCCGAGTCCGAGGGCTGGTGGGAGAACGAAGCCAAACCCAAATTCATGGTACGCACCAGGTTACCCACGTTTGTGACGAGGTTTTTAACTCACAGCACTCACCTTAACCCCCCCCCCCTCCCCAGGAAGACCTTTTTTTTCTGGCGTTGCAATCGTTCCGGTGGTCCGTCAAAAGAGCGGCGCGAAACCTCCAGCTTATGGGCCACATCACTCTCCTGAGGACGCAGGCCATCAGGCCTGACAGCCTGGGTCGGAAAACGAAGAAAGGGAAGCCTCATGAACCTCTGGTCCCTGCGGGTAAGGAGCCCACACGGTGTGTGTAACTGCTGCAGGTAGAAGTACACACAGGGGTTCACACAGTGTGTGTGTGTGTGTGTGTGTGTGTCTGTGCCCAACAGGACGGCTCGGTGCTCCAGACGGTGGTAGCAGGTTCAGGTGCGATCCATAATATCGTCTGGATCCCAGATGTTGGTGTCGCCGTCTGCTCCAACAGGTCCAAGGTACCACATCTGGACACCTTGTCCCCCCCCACCACCCCACCCACCTCCTTTTGAAAGGGGACAAATGTCTTTTTGCTCTGGCTCTGCTTTGTCCTGCAGGACGTGCTGGTGGTGAACTGCTCCAAGGAGTTCATGGCGTCCAACCACGTGCTGGCCACCTGTCGCACGGCCCTGAAGCGGCAGGGGGTGGTTGGCCTCCACGTGGCGCCCTGCATGAGGGCCTTCCTGGAGAGACTTCCTGTGATGCTGCAGGAGCAGTACGCCTACGAGAAGGTCCTACTCTCACATTCAGCAGCATTCAGGGACATTCAGTCCAGCAGATGGCAATAATACCATTTTATTTCAACACGTCTCAGCTGTTTTTCCTATTTTTTTATTTGTTATTTATTTTTCTGATTTTCACATAAAATTACTAGAATTATTTACAATTTTATGATATTTTTCAGTAAATTATTTACATATTCTATTTTTTCATTATATTTATATATATATATATATATATATATATATATATTTTCTGACGTTCACATATTATTCCACATACAATTTAAATTTTCAGATGATTCTCTAAAATGTATTTACATATATTTTGGACATCCTTCAGGTGGTTTTCCATATTTTTTTCACATATCATACAAATAATATCTATTTCCTGGTCATTATTTAGAAGGTTTTATTCACACTACATTACATTTACACGTTTATTCATCACATCTCTCGATTGTTGCTGATGTTTTTCCCGTCTTCTCCTCCACCTCCAGCCCCACGTGGTGTGCGGCGAGCAGCTGGTGCACAGCCCCTACATGCAGTGCCTGGCCTCCCTGGCCGTGGGGCTCCACCTGGACCAGCTCCTGTGCCGGCCCCCGGCGCCGCCCAACCTCCGGCACTGCCCGCCGGAGTCCGGCACGGCCGTGTGGTGCGCCAGCGAGTGGGCCTGGCTGGACTGCTTCTCCACCACGGTGAAGGCGGCGGAGGCCCTCGCCCGCGGCGCCAGCTTCTCCGAGTCGTTCTGCGTTCCCGACCTGGAGCCCGTGCCCAAAGACGAGATGGCTCTGCTCATGGTGAGTGGGGGCGGCCCGCTGCCGGGCATCGCTTCGGTCCAACCAACACCTACTGTGTCTTAACACCCTGTGTTTCCAGGACAACAGCAAGTGGGCGTCTGGCATGGACGAGCAGATCATGTCCTGGGCCACGTCCAGGCCAGAGGTACTGTAGACGCCCAGAGCAGCTGCAGCGCCCGACTGAGTTCCCTCTCACACTCCTGACCAGCGAACACTGTATTTTGTGTGTGTGTGTGTGTGTGTGTACAGGACTGGCACCTCGGAGGGAAGTGCGACGTGTATCTTTGGGGTGCCGGGCGACACGGCCAGCTGGCAGAAGCCGGCAGGAACATCCTGGTGGCCACGAGCGCCCCGTCCTTCTCCCAGGCCCAACAGGTAGTGAGTCAGTGACGCAGCTCGTCTGCGGCGTAAGACGTAATATCCTTCATAGTGAAACCCAGCGAGAGCTGGCAGCACAAACAAGCCGCATGCTTTGTGTTCATTCTGTAAATATACAAATATAAACTCGTATAACTACTTCATTGGTGATCAGTGTGTGTGTGTGTGTGTGTCCGTCCTGCAGGTGGTGTGTGGTCAGAACTGCACCTTCGTGATCCAGTCCAACGGGACGGTGCTGGCCTGCGGGGAGGGCAGCTACGGCCGCCTGGGGCAGGGCAACTCCGACGACCTGCACGTCCTCACCGTGGTCTCTGCTCTGCAAGGTGGGACGACACATCACACACGCACACATACACACACAAATACACACATACGCACATACACACATACGCACATACACACATACGCACATACACACATACGCACATACACACATACACACATACACACATATACACAGATACACATATATATACACATAAACACATATACACATATACACATATATACACATACACACACGTACACATACACACACGTACACATACACACACGTACACATACACATGTACACATATACACATACACACATATATACACATACACACATATATACACATACACACATACACACACATATATATACACACACACACACACACATATATACATATTCACATACACACACACACACACACACATATACACATATTCACATACACACATATACACATATTCACATACACACACATATACACATATATACACATACACACATTTACATGCACACAACATTGTGTCCCCAGTTTATGGTCTCAATAGTTTCTTCTTCAACACAGCATGATGTTGATTCAGTAAATTATGGTCCATTTCCATTTCCATGCCCCGCCCCCCTCACAGGTTTTGTGGTGACCCAGCTGGTGACGTCGTGCGGCAGCGACGGACACTCCATGGCGCTGACGGAGAGCGGCGAGGTCTTCAGCTGGGGCGACGGGGACTACGGCAAGCTGGGCCACGGCAACAGCGACCGGCAGCGCCGGCCCCGGCAGATCGAGGCGCTGCAGGGCGAGGAGGTGGTGCAGGTCGGTCAGGGGTCACGGGGTCACTCGTCGGGGTGAAACGTCTCGCGGATCGGTCGCTTCACCTGGCTCCTCTCGCTCCTCTCAGATGTCCTGTGGGTTCAAGCACTCGGCGGTGGTCACGGCCGACGGGAAGCTTTTTACTTTTGGGAACGGAGATTACGGCCGGCTGGGTTTGGGAAACACGTCCAACAAGAAGCTCCCGGAGAAGGTCACCGCCCTGGAGGGGTACCAGGTCGGACAGGTGGGTGAGAATCTCGCCGGGTCAGATCGCAAATAACATAGTTATGTGCTAGATGAGCTTGTGTGGGTATTTAAACAGATCATACTCATCTCTAATATGTATTTCATATAGAATGTGACATTCATTCAAGACATCTGAATCTATTCTAGTTTATCACTGAAACTACATTTTACAGATTACCTGTGAACACATCTTGATAAGGTGTTTTTCACTGATCGGAGCCTGAACGCATCATGATATAACTGAAGTGAATCTCCATTGGTAACATTGCTGGCTCTCCTCTTGTGGATCTAAACACTGATTGGTTGTTTGTCACATGATCAGAGCCCAGAAACCCATCGATGATGTCATCAGCTATTATTTTACTATTTATTTACCCCCCCAGGTGGCCTGCGGTCTGAACCACACGTTGGTCGTCTCCGCTGACGGGATGATGGTTTGGGCTTTCGGCGACGGAGACTACGGGAAGCTGGGCCTCGGCAATTCCACGGCTAAGTCCTCCCCTCAGGTACTCATCACATCACACCACATGTCATCACATCACACCACATGTCATTACATCACACCACATGTCATCACATTACACAACATGTCATTACATTACACCACATCACATGCCATTACACCACATCACATGCCATTACATCACATCAGATGTCATCACATTACATTTCATCTCATCATATCACATGGCATTACATCACATGTCATCACATCATATGTCATTACATCACATGTCATCTCATCTCATATCACATGTCATTTAGCTGACGCCTTTATCCAAAGCGACTTACATGCAAAAAAACAAAACAAGAAAGTGCAATTTCATCAAATAAGCCGATCTACAACTTGCTGTAGATAATAAATATAAGTACAGTTAGTGTGTTAGTGGAGGTAGAGTCTGAAGAGGTGTGTCTTTAGTCTGAAGATGTGAAGGCTCTCTGTGGTCCTGATGTCTGCAGAGACCTCCTTCCACCATTTAGGAGCAGGACAGCAAAGAGTGGAGATCTAGTCGAGTGTTTTGTTGAGGTTCATCCATTCGTCTTCATTCCTCAGAAGGTGGACGCCTTGTGTGGAAGCGGCATCATCAAGGTGGCGTGTGGAACGCAGTTCTCTGTGGCTTTAACCAGTGACGGAAAAGTCTTCACCTTTGGCCAAGGTATATTATTTATGTGCATATGTATGATGATAATAATAATACAGTAATGAGGTAATGAAGTTAGTTGTTAAGTATAAATACTGTGTACATTTTGGTACATTTTATAAGCTTAATAAGCTCTAGAGCTCTTCTATAATAAAGTTGAGATTAACATATTGGTTGTCCTTGCACACATGATTTGATCAGACCGGCTGATCGGGCTCCCTGAAGGCCGAGCCAGGAACCACAACCGGCCCCAGCAGGTCCCGGCCCTCTCGGGGGTCCACATCCAGGACGTGGCTGTGGGGGCCGAGCACACGCTGGTTCTCTCCTCCACGGGGGACGTTTACACCTGGGGCAGCAACTCGGAGGGACAAGTGAGCTGCACAACACACACACACACACACACACACACACACAACGCCCCATGAAGGGATTTCAGCATGTGACCTTTGACCCTGCAGCTCGGCCTGGGTCACACCAACCACGTCAGGGAGCCCACGGTGGCCACGGTGCTGCAGGGAAAGAACATCCACCAGATCTCCGCCGGGCGCTGCCACAGCGCCGCCTGGTCGGCGCCCTCGGTGCCGCCTCGAGCTCCAGGTCTCTCACACACACACACACACACAAACACGCGTCCGGGTCACAATGTCATAGCGGACAGAACATTGTTGTCGCAAAACTATTTTTGTGTGACCTTGTGGCGGTCGTGTCTCCCTCTCCTGGTCCTCAGGCTCCTCGGTTCCTCTCCAGCTGGGCCTCCCCCTGGCGGTTCCACCTCAGTACAGCGGGCTGAGGGAGGTCAGCATGGAGGCGGTGAGGGCTCGCCTGCGCCTCCTCTACCACTTCTCTGACCTGATGTACTCCTCGTGGAGGCTTCTCAACCTCAGCCCCAACAACCAGGTGAGCAAAGACGCCTGTCGGCCAATGAGGGCGTGGCTCTCGGGCTGTGGGCGGGGCCTCCCGTGTTTGTTTTTGAAGTCGCCGTCGCGTCACTTCCTGTTTGCGTGTTGACGGTGAATTCTTTCCGCGCAGAGCTGCACGTCACACTACAACGCCGGCACCTGGGGGATCGTGCAGGGCCAGCTGAGGCCCCTGTTGGCCCCCCGGGTCTACACGCTGCCCATGGTGCGCTCCATAGGCAAGACCATGGTGCAGGGCAAGAACTACGGCCCCCAGATCACCGTCAAACGGATCTCCACGCGGTCAGTGCCTGCTTCCTGTGGGGGTCCTCAACGAGGGGCTTTATGGTTTTACTCCTTTGTGAAGTATTTAGAGAGCGAGTTGAGCAAGAAACAAACGTTATTTGTTTTACACGGAATTGGAAAACTAGATGTGTTCTATGTATTTCAGATATTAGAAACTGGTTTGTGTTGAACGCTGTCCCTCTTTAACCCCCCCAGGGGGCGGAAGTGCAAACCCATCTTCGTGCAGATCGCCCGTCAGGTGGTGAAGCTCAACGCCTCCGACCTCCGCCTGCCCTCCCGGGCCTGGAAGGTGAAGCTGGTGGGCGAGGGGGCCGACGACGCGGGGGGGGTGTTCGACGACACCATCACAGAGATGTGCCAGGTAGGCCCGTCACCGCGACGATTCCCCACGGGACGGGTTTACCGGGCGCGTGGTGACGGCTCTGTTTTCTCCGTGTCGGTAGGAGCTGGAGACGGGGGTGGTGGACCTCCTCATCCCCTCCCCCAACGCCACGGCCGAGGTCGGATACAACAGAGACAGGTGAGAGGGAATCTGTCAATGTCACAACGATATTTCTGTATTAAACAGGCTACTTATTGTGCTGCATGGAAGTAAAGAGAATCTTTCCTCAGCATCATTCTTCTGTAAAGGATGTTTGGTGAATCTCCGATGCAGATAAACAATGTCAGGGTTTATTTGGGTAGTATGGACAGAAGGACCGTGGACATTAAACATTCATTCACTACAATGTCCGATGAAGACAAGCAGAGTCGTCAAAGCTAAATGAGTCCATAGAAATGTGGACGAAAGGGTTCCTTCTTTTTTATGCATTTCCAAATCAACTATTACATTTGAGATTATAAAACAGGGGATTTGATATCCGTTTGCTGGTTTTCCTACTTACAAAGCATGTAGGAGTCTCATCATTGGTTCTATTCAACTGTGAGTGACAAATCCAGAAAATCACATTGTAAGATTTAAAAAGAATATTTAGCAGTTTATTACGTGACATTAACAGACATCAGAAAAGGCGAACTTAATATTTGGTACACAAACCTTTGTTTGCGATAACAGACGTCATACGTTTCCTGTAGTACCAGGTTTGCACACTGCAGCCACTCCTCCATACAAACCTTCTCCAGATCCTTCAGACTTTCAGCTCCCTCCAAAGAGTTTCTATTGGGTTCAGGTCTGGAGACGGGCTGTCTCGTCACTCACAGTTGAAAAGCACACACACAAATAAAATGACAGACTCATTTTTAAGTAGCAAAACCTGCAAAAAAAAGGCAGTGTATCAAATCCTTGTTCTCTCCGCTGTATCTCGTGTCCTCACCTTGTAAAATCTGTCGCCGTGGTAACCCAAACGCCATGCCCCCCCCTTCGCCCCCGCTCAGGTTCCTCTTCAACCCGTCCACCTGCCTGGACGAGCATGTGATCCAGTTCCGGTTCCTGGGCATCCTGATGGGCGTGGCCATCCGCACCAAGAAGCCCCTGGACCTCCACCTGGCCCCGCTGGTGTGGAAGCAGCTGTGCTGCATCCCGCTGACGCTGGAGGACCTGGAGGAGGTGGACCTCCTGTACGTGCAGACGCTCAAGAGCATTCTTCACATTGAAGACAGCGGCATCACCGAGGAGAACTTCCACGAGGTGCGAAACTCATGACGCCGGGACATGTGGACGACACGTGACCAGATGAAACATCTGGATTTCTTTTTAAATGCTTTAGAAAGAAAAGGTCTTAAACTCAAATTAATATTTGACCCCTGAATCAGGTTGTTTAAAGGACAGGTTGCTTCTTTCTGATTTTAATACTCGTTATAAAGGTAATAAAGTAGCCTAGTTCACAGAGTGCGCCCCCTGGTGGGGAGACACAATAATAATCCTTGTTTAGTGTTCTGATGTATTATTACAAATATCCCCGTTACCCCCCCCCCCCACCTCCCCCCGCAGATGATTCCTCTGGATTCCTTCGTGGGGCAGAGTGCAGATGGGAAGATGGTGCCCATCATCCCGGGAGGAAACAGCATCCCGCTCTCCTTCTCCAACCGGAAGGAGTACGTGGAGCGAGCCATCGAGTACCGGCTGCACGAGATCGATCGACAGGTACTAGGTGTACAAGTACTGTGAAAGCACAGGTACCGACAGGTTTACGAGTACTGTGAAAGCACAGGTACCGACAGGTTTACGAGTACTGTGAAAGCACAGGTACCGACAGGTTTACGAGTACTGTGAAACCACAGGTACCGACAGGTTTACGAGTACTGTGAAACCACAGGTACCGACAGGTGTACGAGTACTGTGAAACCACAGGTACCGACAGGTGTACGAGTACTGTGAAACCACAGGTACCGACAGGTGTACGAGTACTGTGAAACCACAGGTACCGACAGGTGTACGAGTACTGTGAAACCACAGGTACCGACAGGTGTACAAGTACTGTGTATTGTGGATTCATGTGAATGAATGAAAAGAAGGACTTCATGATCTCAGACATAAACCGTCTCCTCGTGTCTCCCCGTGTCCTCACCGTGTCTCCCCGTCTCCTCGTGTCCTCACCGTGTCCCCTCGTCCCCCCAGGTGGCGGCGGTGCGGGAGGGCATGTCGTGGATCGTGCCGGTGCCGCTGCTCTCGCTGCTGACGGCCCGCCATCTGGAGCAGATGGTGTGCGGGATGCCGGAGATCTGCTGCGAGGTGCTGAAGAAGGTGGTGCGGTACCGGGAGGTGGAGGAGCAGCACTCCCTGGTGCAGTGGTTCTGGCAGACGCTGGAGGAGTTCTCCAACGAGGAGCGGGTCCTCTTCATGCGCTTCGTCTCCGGGCGCTCCCGGCTGCCCGCCAACACCGCCGACATCTCCCAGAGGTTCCAGATCATGAAGGTGGACCGGGTGAGTCTCACACCCCCACACCTTAATAAGGCGCGCTTGATTTGACGTGTGCTGGGTCAGAACCGCGTCGCTGCGGTCTGCGGGAGGGAGAAGTGTCTTCAGAAGAGCGTGACATCGCTTTGACCTTTGAACCCAGAAGATTAAATCCATCCCGCTGAAATATTAATGAAGATTAACTCGTCTTCACCGATCTCACCAACTGTGTGTGTGTGTGTGTGTGTGTGTGTGTGTGTGTGTGTGTGTGTGTGTGTGTGTGTGTGTGTGTGTGTGTGTGTGTGTGTGTGTGTGTGTGCGCCCCCCCCAGCCCTACGACAGCCTCCCCACCTCTCAGACCTGCTTCTTCCAGCTGCGTCTGCCTCCGTACTCCAGTCAGGCCGTGATGGCCGAGCGTCTCCGCTACGCCATCAACAACTGCCGCTCCATCGACATGGACAACTACATGCTGTCCCGGAACGTGGACAACGCGGACGGCTCCGACACGGACTACTGACGCGCACAGACACACATTTTTTAAAAGAATCCCTTTTATGTACTTTCAGCACAGCTTCGTTTCTCCTGGTGGTTCATTAGCGTTTTTTAAATGACACAGAAAATCCACACGAGACGTGTGTTTACTGTTAATTATTATGCTCTCATGACTCCACATCCCATTTTCAGGGTTTCTGCATGGAGGTGCGTTTATTTGTTTGGAAAATGTGTATAAAATATTCAAGCAAGTGGCCGGAGGAAGAATGTTGTACATTGTGTAAAATGCTTCATTAGGAAAATGTTTTGCATAATATCCATATTTATTGTTTCCAGAAGCATTAAAAACAACAACAATAAATGCTGCATAACTGACGCTGTCTCAGGTTTGTTTCCTCTCAGAATGTCACATTTAATTCTGAAGTACAAAATATCACAACGTCCGTCTTTAATGAGGAGCAACTAAAAAACACTGCTTTGGATCCTTATAACTGGAGATGTGCTGTGACCCTCGTCCTCATGCTCTCATGCCGTCATGCCCTCATGTCCTCATGGACGGCATGAGGAATGACGAGTCACATCGCTCTGACCTCTGAACCCAGAAGAAGATTCAAACCGGAGGGGGGGGGGGGGGGCGGAGCCTCGCCATGAGCATCACATCAGTAGTAGTAGTATTATGTACTATGTACCTCTGCCTCCTTTCTCTTATGTGACTCAACAGAGAGAAGCAGCTGATTTCCTGAAATCCTCCTTAGCCGTAATGTTTCTTAGAAGCAGAAAAGGGCATTTTTATTACCAAGTTCTCTGCATTTAACCCGTCCCACACAGTGGGAGCTGTATATGTGTATGTATGTATATATATATATATATATATATATATATATATATTCCTCAACTTTATTTATTCATGACACGTAGCTTCTGTTTGGATTCACATAGTTTTTTTATTTCGTTATACAACTGAACCGTGTTTTTCTGCAGCGGCTTCAAACTTCATCGATTGAATACAGAGAATATTCTTCTATTTCTATTCTCTTAATCTCTTCATGCAAACGACCAGGGTGAGCAGGTTTATCCAGGTGGGACCTGAAAAGACAAAATGGCACATTTCCATTTAGCTTGTTCACATTGACTTCACTTTATAAACTACTGTCTCTAATAAACACCTGTTGAAAGAGAAATCTAACATTGTAGGAATATTACATCAAATCTAATAAGAATTCCCATTAGGTGTTATGCGTGTATCCTGATACATCTCATTCCTCGGTGCCAACGGATCCACTACTTCATCACAAAGGTTGAAAGTCACATAAAAGAAACAGGAATTGTGGGAAGTTGTGAAATATGAAGCAGAAACAGAAAACCGAATAAGACCAGCATGCCCCCATTAACCTTCATGCAGTGGAAATGTGACAAATATTATCTGTTGTCAGTTTAAGAGCCCATTCATCCATTCATCTGTTTTTGTAAAAAAAAAGGAATTAATTATTTGTCTGTAATCCTTTATCTGCTAAGTAGCCTGATCTGCTACACTGGGATCGATTGCTTTGGTCTTCACCAAATTCTAGTAGATAGTTTACTGAGGAAACACAAATAAAATCACTGAAACACAGAAAAGGATAAAGTTGTATAAAAAGAAAACGCAACGAACTCCCAGAGTGGACAACGTCTCTGTTAGAGACCTGTCAATCAGTGTGTAGCCCCGCCCCTAAAGCGTCCCCAGCTTTATGGTCTGTTTGACTCTAAATGGACCATAATTCACTAAATGAACATCATGTTGTGTCGAAGAAGACTTGAAACTAGAGACTGAGACCATAAACTCATGTTTACAATGTTTACTGAGGGTAAATGTCCTCATAGACGTCTATGGGAGCAGAGGAGTCGCCCCCTGCTGGTCACTACACAGAATGCAGCTTTAACTCATGAAGCTTCACTTTACAGACCCGGAGTTTTGCCGCCTGCATTTCATGTGTTCAGTTGGTGAGATGTGGTGAAATTACTACCGACATGCTTGTTTTACACGTCACGTACACTCACCTGACCGATTCCCTCCGTTTGGTGCCAAAGTGACCGGATCTAAACAAAACAAAAAAACACCTCCTGTTAGCTCACCGCCTGCACGAAGGTTCCGCCCCCTCACCCGTCACTCACAACCACCTGACATCCGGGCCAGCTCCACGCTGAAGTCGGAGAACTCGTGCGGTTTGCTCACAGAACAAACGTGGGTCCCGAAGTCCTGCGCGCCGACGCTTCGGATGGTGAGCGTGATGCTGCCGGGCCGGTAGGCCACGGCGTACCCGGCCGAGCAGTTCCGGTAGGACTTGTGTTTGATGTAGTGACACAGCAGCTGGTCGCCGGGGCTCCTCCACTGCACGGACAGCTGGGAGACGCGAGCGTGGTCCTCGTAGTGGTACGAGCACGGCAGAGACACCGGCTGACCGGGCCGGCAGAGCACGCGCACCGCGCCGCCTGCTGGGGCGGAGAGGTCAACGGCAGAGGTCACACACGGAATCAGCTCAAACTACGCAGCCTCTTTCAATGGTGATAGGAAGTGTGTGAATAGTTACACCACAAATAAATCCTGCGTGTGATCAGCTAAATGTACTTAAAGCTACTAGAAGGAACGTTTATGTTGTGTTGATTCTGCTGCCCCCTGTGGACTAAAGTGGTAGCGTCTCTACCACCAGGGTCCCTTTAGAAAACCTCTCATTTCACAGCACTCATTCTGTCCCTCAGTCCTGATCCAAAAAGCCCTACATGACTTCATAAATGCAACTTCTCCCACAAACTAAAGCTGTAAGACAAATGTAAAACAGTACAACATGTACCGCTGAGACGTAGTGAAGTGAAAGTACTATATTTACTTTTGAACTTGTGGAAGAAGTACAACGTTGCATGCAATAGAAGTAGAAGTACCTTAAGTATAGTACTCATTACAGCCGGTCACTTCATCGTACAGACTTTGATGTCAAGAGGTCAGATAGTAAACATGTTAAGCCCCATTCTTCTTTGAGTCATTGAACGCACCTTCTCCGATCAAATGGGTCAGGACCAGTCCGAGGCACAGAGCCGTCCCGGTCCGGTCCGGAGCTCGTGTCCTCATTTCCAGACGGGTTCAGTCCGAAGGCTCAAACACACCAGAACATTGAGAGCCTGCAGCACGATGTCCAGAACCTTCTGCTCTTTCGTTTTCACGGCTTCAGATTGCAAGCTGAGTCTGTGGTTTCCGCGGCAACGCCGGGCTCCCGTCACCCGAGGCCACGCTTACAGTTTTTGTTTTGAGCCACATGAGGAGTTTCATCAGAATGTTACGAATGAGTCGTTGAACCCTGAATCCTCAGAGACTTGAACCCTGAATAAATGTGTATCTGTCGCCTGCTGTGTTCAAGGAAACTAAACCAGTTTATAAACTATGAAAGTAGACAATGAGATGTATTTAAAGAAGGTTTGTGGTAGTTATTTTTATTTTGGTTTGGAACTTATTAGAGAATATTCAGCGGACATTATAGCAGACTTGATGTGAGTCACCTGATCTCCATCCAAGAGAAAGCAGGTGAAACAATGCTCCTCACTTCCTGTTTGAAGCCACTTGGAAGCTTCAGGGAGGCAGAAGCAGGAAGGAACATCTGGAGGTATCAGAGCGTCTCATTGCTGTCCTCACTAGGGTCACACACCTCTGGTCCAGCTGCAGCTGCCGTGGGATCTGATTATCGTAGGACCTTCTGACTAAAGGCTCGGGACATGCGTCCCACATTCGGCCTCATTATAAACGTCCCGATACGTTGAGCAGACGTTACAGCACGTTGTCCACGACACACGGAGCTGAGACGCTGAAACCAGGAAGGACGGCTGGTGGGACGATGAAGAGGAACAACTTGAACCATTTCAGTCGACATTACAGCCGTATGATGGTTATGGAAATGTCTGTGAGCCAAAATATGACCTTTGAACTCCACGAGTATGAGTTGGACGTTTGATTGGCGTATTGCGCGCCCCTGATGTAGAGGATGGCGTTGTAGCATGATGCTATGTAGCATGTAAAGGAGTGTGATGTAGCATGATGCTATGTAGCATGTAGAGGATGGCGTTGTAGCACGATGCTATGTAGCATGTAAAGGAGTGTGATGTGGCATGATGCTATGTAGCATGTAGAGGAGTGTGATGTAGCATGTTGCTATGTGGCATGTTGAGGATGGCGTTGTAGCATGTAAAGGAGTGTGATGTAGCATGATGCTATGTAGCATGTCGAGGATGGCGTTGTAGCACGTAAAGGAGTGTAATGTAGCATGATGCTATGTAGCATGTAGAGGATGGCGTTGTAGCATGATGCTATGTAGCATGTAAAGGAGTGTGATGTAGCATGATGCTATGTAGCATGGAAAGGAGTGTGATGTAGCATGATGCTATGTAGCATGTCGAGGATGGCGTTGTAGCATGTAAAGGAGTGTGATGTAGCATGATGCTATGTAGCATGTCGAGGATGGCGTTGTAGCATGATGCTATGTAGCATGTAAAGGAGTGTGATGTGGCATGATGCTGGCATGATGCTATGTAGCACGTGAAGCTGGAGAAAACATGTCTCAGCCTCTCGGACCATCAGCACCGGTTCCCCCCAAAGGCTGCGTTCTCTCCCCTCTGCTCTTCTCCCTGTACACCAACAGCTGCACCTCCAGCCACCAGTCCGTCAAGCTCCTGAAGTTTGCGGATGACACCACCCTCATTGGACTGATCTCTGGTGGGGACGAGTCCGCCTACAGGTGGGAGTCTGATCATCTGGTGTCGTGGTGCAGCCTGAACAACCTGGAGCTCAACGCTCTAAAGACAGTGGAGATGGTTGTGGATTTCCGGCGGAACAGAGCCCCACCCTCCCCCATCACCCTGTGTGACTCCCCCGTCACTATTGTGGATTCCTTCCGTTTCCTGGGCTCCATCATCACCCAGGACCTCAAGTGAGAGCTGAACATCAGCTCCATCACCAAGAAGGCTCAGCAGAGGTTGTTCTTCCTGAGGCAGCTGAAGAAACTCAACCTGCCAAAGACGATGATGGTCCACTTCTACACGGCCATCATCGAGTCCATCCTCTGCTCCTCCATCACCGTCTGGTACGCTGCAGCCACAGCCAAGGACAAGGGCAGGCTGCAGCGTGTCCTCCGCTCTGCAGAGAGGGTGATCGGCTGCAATCTGCCGTCCCTGCAGGACTTGTTCGTTTCCAGGTCTCTGAAGCGAGCTAAAAAGATCGCGGCCG